TATTCTTTTCTTTACAATAAGGCTTTCAAATAAGTCATGGTTGTTCGGCAGTGAGTCGATCGATGATGATGATGAAAGTCCGTTTCAAGCAACCACACCATCGCAATGAGGGTAGAAAAGATCCGTGACTTATGTACGCCACAGTCTGTCATAAGTCATGGTTGTACGGCAGTGAAGCTGTCGATGATGATGATGAAAGTCCGTTTCAAGCAACCACACCATCGCAATGAGGGTAGAAAAGATCCGTGACTTATGTACGCCAAACACAGTCTGTCACATCCATCTGGAAGTCCATCACCGTGATTTTATTTCGAGACAACATTGCTCTTGACCTGGCCTCACATAGCGAAGGGCGAGAAAAGGTTAAGCATACAAAACATCTTGAACTGTGACCACCGTCAGACTTAGCGTAAGCCCAGAAGAACCGGTTAATGTGAAGTGGATTTTGACGAAAAGGCGCAGTCCGCGCAGTCTGTTGGTATGCTTGGTTACTTGTTAGTATTAGTCACTAGAATGGTCTCCCAACTGCTCAGGTTACGACCACGCTAAGACGTGTGGAACTATAAGGATGGAGATGATGTAGGATGAAAAATTAAGTTGGTTCGCGGACACAATGCATGGATTCATCGTTGGAATGTGACCCAATGGTGTTCAACAATACTGAATACACGGTCGTTCAAACGAGAGTGGTGTAGCTATGAACAAAATCTGAATACGTCAGGTTACGACCACGCTAAGACGTGTGGAACTATAAGGATGGAGATGATGTAGGATGAAAAATTAAGTTGGTTCGCGGACAGAATGCATGGATTCATCGTTGGAATATGATCCAATGATTTTCAACAATACTAAATACACGGTCGTTCAAACGAGAGTGGTGTAGCTATGATCGAAATACTGAATACGTCGCCACGAAAATTGTAGGACTCCACCATAATAAAGGTCACCCTTCATGGCTAGTGCTTTCCTATTGCACAAACTTTATACCCACTTGGGACCTCCAAGGAAAAGCATCCTCAGATAAAGATAATCTACTAACTTGATACATATTTTCATTCCGTCAAAAATCAGGGCACAAAATGCACGTAAGAACTACGGTACACTCCACTGGGGACGCTTCCGTGAATACTATCGAATGGGGCTTATGCCGCGTTATAGTTAGACCCATAAGCAGATCGTATTATGCTACGGCTTTGGGGAAGTAACCGATTTACTTGCTATCTGAACCCACCAACCGCTCCTGACTTAGTATGGTTTCTGTTGTAACCGTAAAATATCTTTGCAGGATAAACCGTACACGTCACGTCACACGGTGTACAGGGGCTTGCAAGCGGCTCTAGCAACCATACACCTGATTTTTGTGTCGTGAGGCCACGCAACTGGCCAACTGCCAGTCCCTTTGTCCCAATGTGATAGTAAACCCTAGCTTCAGTCTAGCTCAAACATATGACGTCCTCTCTAGTTTCAATGGGCCTATATCAAAAGGTATCAACGTATTCTCATCAGCATGCACCCTACCACTCTTTGGCATTGTCTGATTCAATAGACTAACTTCAATGGAACAATTTGGGCTTTTCATACAGGGAAATAGAATTTACATGAACTAAAATCTCGGTGAACGTTCAAAGATGTAGTAATAAAATCAGACAATACAATTCTGACCCAGGGACTTTGTGAGGTGTCGGACTATTTGGACTAGTAAACGTGTCACGGTGAGATGCCAATTTGCCAAACACGTAGAAATGGCAACCAGAAAAGGTAACCACAATGGCGGTAGTTCCCTCGATTTAAGGTACTAGTTAATGTAGTTAACTATCGAAATGATCCTCACTGGGTCAAACGAAATCGCTTCTTTTCTGAGGGGGAGGGAAGGAGAGGGGTTGACCCTTATAAGAGCACAAATCTACGATAAAATGAGGCAACATAACTTGCTTTGGACACGAGGAAAACGTACACAACCAAACTAAACCATGTGCAGTTTGAGTCAGAAAAGCACAGTCCTTCATTCTTCCTGGAAACATTGAGGTTCCATCTTACCCCATTGGGGAGATTGCCTAAACGCGAAGCTACTTAACGCAACTTCAAACGAATGACGTCCTGGTGACCAGACTATTGATGATACGTGGTTTTTCACAATCACCTTGCCTAGATTCTTCATCAGCACAAATGTTCGTTCTGTGAGAAGATATGTACCCCCATATGGATAATAACCCCAGACACGTAACAACTGTTTTTCGAGAATATCCTTACAGAAGAATAAGTGTAGTTGGGGTATGAATAACAAAAGCCACTCACTCTGTTGTTTCAATGCGAAAGCACGATTTATTTAGAAGCGACACTTTAACACAGTAAATCTAACCTGAACTCACGATCGTTGACCACACTTCGATTCACGTTTTGTGTGGACAGAGTTGCGCACATGACGTACAGCTGTAGCCGTAGCCAAAGCAGAAGATCGGACCTGATAAGCAAGAAAGTACGAGAATTATAAGGGTTCCACCAGCAGAGAAATTGAAATTGCTGTCAGGGTTGAACAGCGAGGCAATCAAGTCGTAATCAAGTTCCCAGTAGTCAACTTCCCTGTTCCCTCAAATTTCACTCAAGAGCATACACCCACCTTGGTCTACCGGGAGAATGTTGCCGGGACGAGTGGAATGGAAGTTTTTTTAGTTTTTCTCAAAACATTCTTGTTCCACGCTTAGAATCGTGAGTTTCATCATCCGTTCCGCAGCTTTAGAATAAGACGAACACGGTGAAGTCGTCGGGGTATTGTTTTTTGGTTACACTAGAGGCGTTCAGAGGTCTGAATCGTCACTACTTACCGTAACTCCTGCTTGAACATCTTGCAGGGCTATCACTGATTAATTCGAACTGCCCATAGACTCCTAACAATCCCAACCTTTCTCAAGGCGACTTTGTGACACATTTCTGATTTTTTTGCACATAAGACATCCTATGTTGGCCTTGCCCCTAACTGCTATCAAGTGTCTGCGGCATTGTCATTGGTTTCCCATATTATGATGCCCAAATCTTTTCCCAGCCTCAAAACGCATTGAGCATTCTACTAAGGTAGTTCCGCTTGCGTTCCATCATCACCATCATCATTGTCAGCTGCAAGAACCACGTACTTGTCGTACGGTGGTTGTAGCTACCACAATTTCGTTTATCGATGATTTGGGGAGGTGGGGTAGGTAGCTGCACATTGGACGCAGGAGCTGATAGATTGGTGCGAGGATGTATTCAATGCATCACCGCTAACACTCATAGCATCGCCAAATCCTTTTCCGACAAACATTCAGGGGTAACTCTATCCCGCAACCTTTTTTACGTTGGAACAAGTTACATAAGTCTCCAATTGAGAAGAATTTCTTGTCATTCTTCACGACCGGAGAATCTGTCCGCTCCAGATCATCTCAACTCTGGTTTCGTACCGCAGGGAGTTTCATTTGCTTAAGAGTCGTAACTCACTACTAACCAGCCTTGAAATTTCATTTTCGGCAACACAATCAGTTCGCTACTCCTCTGTTAGCTCCACCCATTTTGCGAGCATACTGCCTAATGCTGCACAAGGCTTGGCTAAACTCTGCCTCGAATAGCCCAAAGACCGACAGAAAAGCTCTGAACGACACCGTGCAAAGGTCGATGACGATAGTCGCAACTGACGACCTGGTTCAGAGATGGTGAAGCCACTCACAACCTTCAAAAAGGCTTCAGAGCCGTAGTAAGAGCAGCAGTCAAGCAGAAATATCCTGGGAACAATTTAAGTAATTTTGGACAGGGGTATCCGTACAGGAAAACGCAGGAATTTTAGACGGAGATGCGACCACTGTAAGAAATCAGCAGCATCCTACAAGTGAAGCGGTCTTCCCATCGAAAGGTTGACAACATTAGGTGAGTGGCAGTGTTAGAAAGGAATTTCGGTAGAAAAATCGGTAAATGTCTTCTAAATGTATCCAAATGATCGAAAGAATACAGTTTCTGTCCCGTTCATAAGCGATGGAATTCAAAAGAAAATCACAACGTCAAGAGTGAAGTGGGAGTATCTGTTGGCATCTGTGGGTAAACTAGTAATTTAGGTAACCTTGATAGGGAATGACACTCAAATAAAAGCCTCTGTAGCTTGTGACGCAAAGGGATAAATTTGGGTAAAAAGCAGGTATTGGAAGTATACGTTCTTCAATTTTGCGACGTTCTCCGATGAGCATAAGCACATCTTCCTTAAAGATAAAGAGTGTAGCACCAGTAAGACTATTTTCTGAAGAACTTGGGGTTAGCCACAGGCTTGTAGCCGTCAGATCAGCTGAAAGAAGCCGTTTTCAAACAAATATATTGAAACCGCTTGATATTGCAAAGCTGAAACGCGGTTTCAAATGTACCAAGTTGCACGAGCCAAATGAATTCAACAACTGCATATCGAAATCACCAACAAAAAGGAATGGATAAGTAAAGAGACCCAAGTTAGAGTGGGGAAAAGTATAAACAATTCAACAATTGTCGAAGAAGCACTAAGCGTGCTGTCGATTTTGGCAGAAACAGGGAAGAACCAGACAGTTCACAGATCTGGGACTGAAACCATGCAGGGCGTTTGCGAATTTGTAGCGAACGAGTAAAACTCAACTTTGCTACGAAAGGTAATGAGGCAATAACTCGCAAAAGAAATGTACCTTCTAAACGCATTACATGAGTACCGATGCCTGAATCGAGTCCGATTCCCTTTGGTATGACTTGAAAAAATCCTCGTATTCAACCAGATGCAGTGTAAAGAATGGAGCAACAAATGAACGAATGTTGCTTGAAATCTCTGGGAGAACCGGCATCTTGTAAAATTTGGGGTATCTGAGGGGAAATCTATCTCACGCGATGTTTCGTTCCATTTTACAGCTCACACTGATCACCTTTATAAACCGAATAGGCAGCCAAAGGACAGAATTTGACCCGGTATGATTGGCACTAGTAACCAAGGTAGCCTTTCCTCAACAAAGAAGAGCAACTTAGGTCGTATCAGAGCGGCAGTCGGGTTCCGCGGGTAAACGAGATACTTCATATATATATATATATATATATATATATATAAACTAGCGACCTAATTTTCCGAGCCCGGTAGCCTACGTCACCAATACCAGGATAACCGGCCATAATCGAAATAGTTTTTAAACAACCAGAAACCTATCACACAAAATCTCGACAACTACGTGCTTGTGTGTGAGTGTTGTGCCTTAGCTCTGACAAGAAGTCAATGATCCGTAGTTCGGTGTACGGACGCCCACAGTAGGTAAGTACACAGAACACATTCTGTTTCGATCAGTGTTCTATCAAGTCATTCGGTGACGATCCAAGCTACTGCTGTGTTCAAAGTGCGCCTTGATTCATGATAAAAAACACGATAGGCGATAATCGATCGGTTCGGCCTGTGTCATTCAACAACAAAACGTGCAACCTGGACGTTCACAGTGCGAATGTTTTGATGCGGTTGTCTTGATTCGGAAACGAGTGCTACTTAAATTGATCTACCTCAACGACATTAGCAGTAATTGTGAGTTCTGAACGAGCAAAATCGAAAGAACTCTTTCAATCAGGAGCCCTGATGGGAATTAGGGTCATATTCAAATATGCAGTCCAGCCCTTCTCAGCGACGGCTACAACAGGCTGCCTCAGAATACCGGATAAATAGGGATCTTATTTCCAAATAATTGGCATGTCAAGGAAGCAGCGCTTACATCAGTTCATCAGCTGACTATAAGAATTGCGCTCGGAGTATAACAAGAAAGAACAGGTAAGAATGGGTAAACGAAGCTTATGGTCGCCAATGTGAGTAGTTTTCACCTGAGGATTCATGCACTTAACCTCATCTACTGCCGTTTTGCGAACTCCATTGCAGCCGATTCTTTACATCACGGCCTCGACTTGATTTTTCTCAACACAGTTTTCGAAGTCTTACAAATGTGAAACATAAAAAAGAGTGACAAGCCACCAAAATATGAAACGCTGTGGGTGCATTGCCAACACAAAACTCTGGGGAAACACGGGGAGGTCGTGAACAGAGACCGTAAGGAGCTCCGACCCATCCCGGGGGCCTCCGGAAGGTTATTCAAATGCTGCCTCAAGCGAGTCGGTGTAACTGTAGGCCTCTCGAGGGTTTCGATTACAGAAACTCACCAACAGGTTTGATTAAGAGCCTTGCTATCACCTGAGTTTAATAAGACCCTCCACTGACACGTTTTTCGTAAAGTTACGGGCAATGTTATGGAGAGAAATAATCGTGCCGGAAGATCATAGACAGTGCAGGAAACAGCCATTCAAGGCCAATAGTTCAATGTCTTTTGGAGACGAAGCGACAAAGTATCATGGCCCACAAACATACCAGAAAAACCAGTCCGATAACAGTGACTCACATCACGTTCATGGATAAGATCACTTAGTTTCTGCGCTAAGTCCGGCTGCCTGTTGTCAAGGGCCTCCTGGAGTTTCGATTCTAAGGTGCCTTTGCGCAAACTGTCCCACTGGGATTTGGACGGGCCTTGAGGGATTGTGCACGGTGTGGCCAGTTCGCTGCTAGCAATGAACTAAACAAGAAAGTTTGGAAATCTGTCACTCGTGAATAAACAGAACTCTGTACAAATATTGTGCGAAACGATTTATTTCGTTCAAAGTGAGTGTGTAACGCATGGACAATATCTGTTGCGCAAATTTTTTGATGCACCCCGTGATTGAACTTACAGCTAGCATCTGCGCTGTCGTTTTACATCACAATTATTTTTCTCTGACAAGATTCAGCAGCTAAAACTATGGAACTCCTTCAGAAATTCTACCCAAGAAAGTTTTAAACCATACGGACAATCGACGTCTAGACTGGAAAGCCTATGACTACGCATACCAAGTGAGTCCCAGTTAGATGAGGTTGTGTATAGCTTGTGGATTTTTCAAATTTTCGCAAGCTACTAACGAGGAGAAGAGTAGAAAGCTGAATTTTTGGTGAACTACCAAGGGTCGACCACCACCCTGTTACACGCAGGCAACAGATTCCTGATAATTCTCAACGCCGGGAAGGAGTAAATCAAGGCATTACACGGGATTGAACCGGCTAAATGGCTGGAGCTTATTCTGATTTGCGACATTTCGGTATTTCACCCAAGAAGCCTCAAAACGAGAACTCAATGCAGAAACACATTAGTCAGTCATCTAGTCGGTCAAAATCTAGTTGATCAAAACAATGAGTTGCGGAAGATAAATTACAATAGAACTACCTCCATATGTGCTGAGGGTGAGCCAGGAAATTAGCAGAATTATTCCGACTTTTTTTTAAAGAAGGACTGCGTTTTGTCACCATTCGGAAGCTTTGGTTTCCCATACACATTTCTCAAGTTAGCTATAATCTGCATCCGTCCTGGTGACGCGGGATTCCAGCCCACGGTCAACAGACGTCTACCCACTTATATCATCGGTCAACAGCGAGACTTTCGATAGACGGGCAGCACACGAGTTATGCGAAAAGCCGATTGTGGAACCAACAAACGGCTTGTCCGAACCAAGTCACACACTAGTTCAATGAGTGCATAAAAATCCATGCAAACGGTTTCAAGTTGATGGTGAGATCAGCTTCAACGGCCTCTCTACCGACAGCTTTCAACCCATCCAGTCCGCTGACAAAAGAGCCAGGTGATGTCGGTAATCACCCAGATAGGGCAATTGTGTTCAAGATGCTCTGACCTGCTACAGACCAACCAGTATACGAAACAGCTGGTAATTAGAAATATTGGAGCCCTTGGGAAGTATTTTGCCCAACAGAACGTTGAGGCCAAGAAACAGCGGTTGCAGGATGCTCAAAGTCGCCCGACTTGGAAATCCAACCGCACCAAGTGAATAGATCGAAGAATTCGCTGCTCGGCGACAGCACAAACGATTTTTCGATTGTTTCGAATCGGAGGCCAACTCTTGTACATACTGACAGGGAACTGAGATGGTGTGGAAATAGTGCAGAAATAGTGTATGTATGACACAAGTATCTCAAATGACCGATACCAGGCTGCCAACCGATGTCAGTGGCGTTCTTCTTGTCAGTTTCTATCCAGATTGCCTGAGTGAATGTCTGGAGATGTAGGCACCTCGGAATGACTGTGGTAAGCTAGCACTAAGTCCCTCCTAGTCTACCTTTACCCTACAATAAGGCTTCCAAATAAATCATGGTTGTACGGCAGTGAAGCATCGGTGTTGAACACAGATGTCATGCTGTCGATGATGATGATTATGACCCAAAAGTGTGAACACAAGGCAGATGCGATTGATTGAGACTACTCGAATAGCTCAAGTTTTATGAAACAAATTACCACCCGCGTTCTGGCCCCAAACCTGGAGGGCCAGGGGACTATTTTTCATATATCTATCCATTGGACAACTTGGTAGGAAAAACTGGGTGGATGCAGCGTGAGAATGCTCTAGCGAAACCCACTGGGCTACTGAGGTACACAAACCGTCGCACGACGATAAGGCTGTCTATTGGCGACGGAGTGATAACATTAGCGACCGGAAGTGGAGCGACCATACAAGAGATTAAAAAGCTTTTTGGTGGGTTTCGCAAGCACGATTTTCCCTCTGATTTACTCATGGTGACAGAGTATTCTATCCATCTTGAGACCTGTTCTACAAATCAAATGGTTTGATACGAGAACCATAGGAAATAACTTGTTGGACTTGTTCGAGAATACGACTAATTTTCCGGAGCAAAAGGATTATTTTGTGTTTTTCCGGGCTGCAATGATAAAGAGGAAGCAAAAAATCCACAACGAACGGGAAAGCAGGTAAAATCCACCACCTAATAGGACGGTGAGATTAACCTGATTCGAATGGACGATCAAGCAGTCCGACTAACGTCAGTGGTACTAAATATAAACTATTTTTGCAAGTGGAGAGATCTGAATGCTTAGTTCACGGTTTTGGCCTCTAGGGCAATGTCGAATGAAGGTACTACACAAATGACTCGCCAAGGATCTTATACAATATAGATATCGCGAGCCACTAATGTAGCTAACTTACACTTATGCGGGAAAATGCTACGCATCTACTCATGAGGCAGCTGAAAACGCTTCGATAGCCTACACATGTTTAATTAGTTTACTGAGGTGTGATTCTTAGATTTTGATATATATTGCAAGTTTGTGAGGAAGTGTTCACTGCCGTCCATGAAGAATGCCAAAGTTGATTAGCCTCATTCAAAGAATCATCAAAATCACCACTAGGAGACCTACATTGTCACACGTTTTTCCTTTCGGACAGTCGACAGCCTTTTCATGTTTTCTCTTCCATGGGCGCAGTTTCACATCTTCAGTATTGGCTTGATCGTAAAGTGCTTTCAATCGGCCAGCAGAATTCGATTGAGGCGGAAATGCACTCAGAGCTACGTTTAGTGCTGTGTGGATAAACTAGCATACCTGTTGTGAGGATGTCCTTTCTCAACTGAATTTTACGAATTTTGCTTGAACGCTGACTGAGTTGCTGACGAAGACGTTGTAGTGATTCGAATTTCTAAAACATACCCAAACACATTCGAACACCTTACTTTGACGAGGTCCTCACGCATTGTTCAACGATCCACGTGCAAAAAATAAATTCGAAACTGGCACAATTGCACACACGAGTTACCACCTAAAAAACAGATCAGGAGTTTGAGAAGTTTCCGATAGCGCACCATTATCACCTTTAGAGACATCACATATATGACCAGAGTATAGCGCACCAATACCTGACCAATAGCAGTCACTTTATCCAAATAAATTGACATCGTTGTATGACATTGTTCTTCAATGCTGTTATGAATGACGACGATCACCTCATCAGTAGTGCCCCACCTACTGCTTCTTTATTTTGTAAATGTTCTTAGTCTATGAGCTGTCCTTAATCCCGGTTATTAGCTTATTATATATACGTGCACATAAAACTGGATTTAATTTGAGTACTTGTAGCCCCACTGATGCCTGTGCATTTGTTTCTACCTTCCGGTTCATTTAATTTGAGTACTTGTAGCCCCACTGACGCCTGTGCATTTGTTTCTACCTTTCGGTTCCTGTTGTCCATCATCATCAGCATTGTCATTGTCAGCTGTAATAATCGCGTACTCGTCCCACAGTGGTTACAGCGTCCGCAGTTTCGTTCACCGATGATTTGGGGGAGAGGGAGNTGAGTAGTTTTCACCTGAGGATTCATGCAGTTAATCTCATCTACTGCCGTTTTGCGAACTCCACTGCAGCCGATTCTTTACTTCACGGCCTCGACTTAATTTTTCTCAACACAGTTTTGGAAGTCTTACAAATGTGAAACATGAAAAAGAGTAACAAACCACCAAAATATGAAACGCTGTGGGTGCGTTGCCAACAAAAAACTCTGGGGAAACACGAGCAGGTCGTGAACAGAGACCGTACGGAGCTCCGACCCATCCCGGGGGCCTCCGGCTGGGGAAACGCAGGTCGTGAACAGAGACCGTACGGAGCTCCGACCCATCCCGGGGGCTTCCGGAAGGTTATTCAAATGCTGCCTCAAGCAAGCGAGTGTAACTGTAGGCCTCTCGAGGGTTTCGATTACAGAAGCTCACCAACAGGTTTGATTAAGAGCCTTGCTATCACCTGAGTTCAATAAGACCCTCCACTGACACGTTTTTCGTAAAGTTACGGGCAATGTTATGGAGAGAAATAATCGTGCCGGAAGATCATAGACAGTGCAGGAAACAGCCATTCAAGGCCAATAGTTCAATGTCTTTTGGAGACGAAGCGACAAAGTATCATGGCCCACAAACATACCAGAAAAACCAGTCCGATAACAGTGACTCACATCACGTTCATGGATAAGATCACTTAGTTTCTGCGCTAAGTCCGGCTGCCTGTTGTCAAGGGCCTCCTGGAGTTTCGATTCTAAGGTGCCTTTGCGCAAACTGTCCCACTGGGATTTGGACGGGCCTTGAGGGATTGTGCACGGTGTGGCCAGTTCGCTGCTAGCAATGAACTAAACAAGAAAGTTTGGAAATCTGTCACTCGTGAATAAACAGAACTCTGTACAAATATTGTGCGAAACGATTTATTTCGTTCAAAGTGAGTGTGTAACGCATGGACAATATCTGTTGCGCAAATTTTTT